TTTTTTTTTTTAATTATTATTATTATTATTATTATTATTATTATTATTATTATTATTATTATTATTATCTCCATCAAAAAAAAAGGAAGAATACCCTTGAGTAATAAAACAAACATCCTTTCGGATTTTAATTCCCATTTGCATCCGCAAGCAGAATAATCCGTGTACGATGACTATCACTTTATTACCGTGCACGAAATAATAATCCGTATATGTCTTGTTAACAATACGTATAATTATATAGAATAATTTGATAGTGTTGATGTTTAACGGTAAAAAGATTCTATCAAGTCGTTCCTAAAATTTCTACCCATTTTTTTTTTTGTGACTCATTAATGATCATCATAATTATATAACTGTTACTTGCTTGCTTGTATATTTTATACCGATTTACTCGAAATATTAATATTACTTATTTATTATACAATGTTTTTTGTTTTTTTTTTTATTTTTAATTTCTTTTAACAATAGGAAGCAGGTAAAAAAATAAAAAGAAAAAGAAAATAATTGAAATTTAGATTTAGTTTAGATGAGATTAGGTAATCGTCAATTACCGACGTAAAATAAAATCACACTTGCACGTTAGATCACGTCAATGTGGATCAATGAACGTCAAAGTATTTAATAAGTCTTACACGTAAAATATTTTTCCTTATTTTGCGTTATTTTATTAAGTTAGTAAAATAATATATTAAATTGAGTGACAATATATCTTCGTATTTAAATAGAAAAGTAAATCAAATCAGATTAATATTACTAAAATTATACGATCTGGAAAATCAAAGAAATATTTTTCTACCGTTCAATAAAATAAAAAATACGACTATAATGTAAAAAATTAATAAACCATAAATTAGTTTTTACAATTTCACGCTTATCCGGTGCATTCAATTTTATTCTAAATCCTAACGTGTCACGTCAATTTACGTTCAAACGTTTTCCTCCCGTTCGTAAAATAAAATCGAACAATTTTTAACGAGAAAAATAAAAATCTAAATACAATTATAAAAAACGTATAAATTAATTATTTAATAAAACAAAATATGTGCACTATACGCGAGATTAACGATATCGATCGATAAAATTAATAATATATTTTATAAATCACGATGCAAAAACTAATGGATATTAATAATGAAACATCGAAAGAAGGAGTTATCGAAATAATAATATTGAATCTAAAAGATGGAGGGGGGGGGGCGGAGAGGAATGTTTCTTTTAAATTCCGATCGTATTTTCCCTCGTAAGAAGAAGGGATTGTTTTGAAAAACAAGAACGTAGGAAGAATCGAAGAATGATCGAGTACCGATCGCGTGCTAAACCAATCGCTCGAATCGTGACTAGATCGGGAACCGAGAAACGAACGAACAACCACTCATGCTTGATTCTCGAACAGCAGAGAGAGAGAAAGAGATAGTTTTATCCCGAAGGTAGATTGTGTCAGAGAAAGAGAAAGAAAGAAAAATAAAGAAAGAGAAAGAGAGATAGAGACAGAGAGAGAGAGAGAGAGAGAGAGAGAGAGAAAGAGAGAGAGAAAGAGAGGGAGGGAGTTGTATACCAAAAAAATAAAAGCAACGAGAGAAAAAAAGAGAGAGAGAGAAGAGTCACGGACAAAGTTACGTACATTTTGCCGGTGCAACATAAAGCCGGCTTTGGCAAACCGCATCGAGAGACTCTCGTTCTCTTTCTTTCGTACACTTGGAACGTTGGCTTTCCGATTGCATTATCGTACACGGTGATTAATCGTCGCCCGAGGTGTTCCATTGTCTCTCAGGGACGTCGCGGCGCTGCTCTGACTTCTCTTTTATTTTTCTCCGCCAACATTTCGCGGCCTTTTCACGAAGGTTTCTCAAAGGAACAACAGCAACGTTCGAAAACATTTCGAGACAGATCACCGCAAGTACTTTCAGTCCCGGGGAAAAGGATATCATTCATAGACTAGAATAGTAGAATAATTTCTATTCAATTATCGATATATCGTCGAGAGATTCGTGTTTGTCGGAATATAATTAAGAATAATATTTTTCGATTATTATTATTATTTATGAATTATTTTTAGATATATTTTATTATTGATTGTGGTTTTATGATCGGTTAATCAGAGCACTAATCGTTGTTATCTGTGTTTATTTCTGTGAGTTTGATTTGACTCGTGCGAATTGTTTATCAATCATTACGAGAACAATGTTTAGTAATATTTATTAATGAATAATTTGAAAAGTTTTCTTTACGATTGTATTTTCTCGATTGATTGTCTTTTTTATTGTTGTTGTTGTAGAAATTAATTAACGGTGAAGATAACGCGTGATGATGATCACAATTAAAGTAAATTGAAAATTGTTGAATTTAATTATTTTATTATTGAATTTGTTAAATGTATTATACAATTGTCGGAAAATCATAAACGCGTTTTACGAATTCGAGAGTCTACTGTAAATAAATTAAACGAGTAAATATGAAAAAAAGGTTAAGATAAGAAAACAAATATTTATTCTTAAATTTTCATTAGGTTAAACAAAACAAATGTTAATAGTAAAATAAACCGTTTTCACAGGAAACAGAGTTCACGTGTTATTATAGTTTGGAAAAGGCTAAGCTAACGCGAACGAGTCGAAATGGATCTTTCGTGCGATCTTTCTTAACGATCTTCCTAATCTTTTGAAAAACATGCGAAAATTTTCAAACATCTTTTTTCATTAGTTGCATACGTGAAACATGTCAAGTCGCGAGACGTAATCATTTCAATTACCACGACTGCTTATTCACCGACCTATTTTTCTATTATTCCTTTCAATTCCAATGAATTAACCCATTGAAATACACGACCAATCGATTAACATCTACGAAAAGGGTCATAAGAATGAACTATGTATAATATATTGATCGGTATAATCTATCCAATGGATCATCGTTTATATTTCACAATGATTATATTTTCTAAAATATAGGAAAACTTTTCTAAAACATATTTCTTAATACTTTCTGTTGATCATCTTAATAATACATCGACTAAAAAATACAAAACATGTCGACATTAAAGGACGTTGTACGATTCTCATAGGAATGTCGCGAATGTGTCTTCTTGACGCGCGTTTACGTACATCGGAAATAGGAATTCTTAAAGACTACTCTTTCTCAAGAGTTCGGTAAACAATGTCGTCTGTTCCGAACTTGTGGTTAGAATATTGCATGACAATCCGCAAAGTATGGTTACTTCGCGTGTCAAGAAGAAAAATACTCAAAGCTTGGCAATCGGAAATCTTGTTTATCTACTCTCTCTCGAAATATTATTCTCATTACTTATCGTTATATTAAAGTATTTTATCAAATGAAAATAACAAATATCCGTTATTACGAGGAAATATACGGTAAAAGAGAATGGAACCAACATACTTATTATACAATAGATAATTTTTGTTACTAACCTAATACTATTATAACATATACTAGAGGAAGGCGAGAATAGAACCTTGTTCTACTTTTTCATAGATTCTAAAATAAGAATACTTATTAGCAAGTAAATGGTCGGTGAAACCATGTAAATAAATCTATTGAACGCGTATGAACGTGAACGAATAAATTGCTCTGAGTAAAATTATGAGAATACTGTCTGTGAACTTTGAACCGTAGGAAGTTACCAATATAGCTTGGGACTGCATAGTGTGTGCTTTTACTTTACGAAAGATTATTATCTATCTACTTTATTAATACGTTCACCGGTACTCCACTTTTTCCACGTTTTTATTATTTCAAACCGTTTTGAAATGATTTCTTTTGTGACATTGCTAGACCAATGAGGTGGTGGTGTTGTACTTTCTAATAAGAGTAAAGTCTAATGTTTAATATCTGACAGATCTTTTATGTTTAAAAAAAAAAAAAAACGAAAGAAAAATATTCGTAAAAATGATCAAACGGATATATTGAATTTATGAAAGATCGTTTTGATAGTCAAACGAGGTGTTTTAAAAAAGAAAAAAGAAAAGAAAAGAAAAGAATTAAAATTAAAATGAAAAATTCTCTTACATTATCGCTGCACAACGGTCGTTGATTTATTACAGGTGGTATCTGTTGGTCATCGATCAGCAATGGCCGCTGCAAAGAATTATTGTCTCAAGGTGTCACGAGAGAGGATTGTTGCGCGTCGAATGCAGCTGCTGCAACGGCTTACTCGGATGAAGATTTGGACAGTGGAAGTCTTTTCTTTTGGCGAGTTCTCGGAGGTGGTGTCCAATGTCGACCTTGCAGAGGTAAACAAAAGAAAATTTATTTAAAACGCTATACAAAATCAAATTTGAATAATAATTATAATTATAAATAAAATATAAATAAATTTGAAATTGGCAATTGTGGAAAATTGTGCATAAGACGCATCGGGAAGAAACGGAAGAATATTCTTTAAAAGAAAGAAAGAGAAGTAGAAAAAAAATAAACTTGAAATTAAAAAATTGGAAAAATTTTAATACGACGAATCGAAGAATGGAAGAATGATCTTTACAAAGGTAGAAAGAGAGAGAAAAAGATAAAAAGAGAGAGAGAGAGAGAGAGGGAGAGAGAAAGAGAGAAAAAAAGGACACGTATCGTTTGTTCGCAGAGAGTTGCGCGGAAGTGAAATGCGAGGAAGGGAAAAAGTGCGTGGTGCGGAGGGGAAGGCCTCGATGCGTCTGTAGCCCCGAATGCAAAGCTCCGAGAGGAGGTGGCCCGGTCTGCGGAACGGACGGAAGGAGTTACAAGAGCTTGTGCAGGCTCAAGAAGCGAGCTTGCAAGAAGGGGAGCCACGAGCTTGCCGTTGCCTACACCGGCCACTGCCAAAGTGAGTATGTATAAACCGAGACTTTTTTTTATATATTTTTTTACATTTAAATACATTATATTATATTATTATTTAATAAAACTATTCTATCGTCCATCGCGAGTACGATCTATTTCGATTGGAATTAAATAACAAAAAGATTACATTAATCCTATTGAGAATACTTTTAACTCTGAAGTATTTTCTAGGGATTCAAAAGTTTATTATTAAGTACGACTGTTTGTTAGTGTTGATTGATATTATTCATCTCAGAACATTCTAATAATAAATTAATATTTAATAATTAAAGTGTGTGTGTGTGTGTGTGTGTTTTTGATAAGACACTCCAAACAATAATCGAATATTACATTATTTTACATTAACATTGACAAACACACGTATATGCGTCGATAGATCACACTGGCAACTTTTACCAAACGCATATATGCGTTCATAGTAGTCAAAAGAATTAAAGAAAAGAACGCGTACTCCTTTGACTTTTCGTAAATTTGTTCGCAATTTATTCGAATACGCGAATAGAAAAAAAAGAATGGTATATGATATTACCGAGAAAAACAAAAAGTGATTAACGGTGGAAAAAAAAATAAAAAGAAAAGAAAAGGGAATAAATGGGTAAAGTAAATGCGGCAGGCATATCGGGTTATGACGCTCGAGGGGTTGGTTGGTTGGTTGGTTGGTTGGTTGGTTGGTTGGTCGCGTCGCGTATAGTAAGAAGGCGTAAAACGGCGGCACGTTGGTTTCGACGAAACGGAGCGTCGCAAATTGCATAAGCCTCGAAGCCCAGTAAGATCAATGATTCTGAAAGGGATAATCGGCTAACGTCGTCGAGGAGGCGTCGTGGCCTTCCGGCTCGTTATTTTCACCTGCATTGAGAAACGCAGACTCTGTAATCCATTTTTCTCGGGTTAATCATCAGCGACACGTTTACTGACAATGAATAAAGAGAAAAAATAAAGATAGAAAGTAAGGAAGTTAAAGTTAAAGGTTAAAGTTAAAATTCAACACATATTATAAGGATAGATATTTAAAAATATTAATACAAAGTATATATGTATGTATGTATGCATGTATAAATTGTAACGGAAAAGGAATAAGAAGGATGGTTCTAGGATGACACGGCCAGTTTACGACCGTGCGTAATAACGTGTAAAGTGTCGAGCAGGTTCGTGCGCACGGGTCCGGTGCGGCCAAGGTCGGAGCTGCCTGCTGGACCAGAACCTAAGTCCTCACTGCGTGAGGTGCGCCCGCAGGTGCCCGCAAGCGCCCTCGCACCAACACACAACCGCTCGGCCCGTTTGCGGGGCCGACGGAAACACCTACAAGAGTGCCTGCCACCTGCGACTCGCCGCCTGCCGCGCGGGTCGCGCCATTCCGGTCGCCTATAAGGGCCACTGCAAACGTGAGTCTAATACTACTACCACCCACCCCAACCCCCCTTTTATTTCTTAATTTTTCTTTTTTTTTCTATTAATTCTTATCCGTCTCTTCTATTATTTTCTTTTTCTTTTTCTTACCGCTTATCCTCCCTACGAGCGAACCCTTTTCATTATCCAAAATCATTCATTATTACCTTCTTCATTTTCGTAACTTTTTTCAAAATGAACACCAGTAGGTAAACTCGTTTCGAAACATTTCCATTCAGTAATTTTTTATCTACCTTATTACGACTCTTACGGACAGAAAAAATGATCTAATGCGTGCGCAGCATTCCGGTTGTCTATAAGGGCCACTGCAAACGTGAGTCTAATGTTACCACCCCTCCCCTTGTTTTGTTTTTTTATTAATTCTTATCCGTCTGTTTGATTTTTGTCTTCTTCTTACCGCTTATCCTCCCTACGAGTAATCCCTTATCATTATCCAAAATCATCCATTCTTCTCTTCGTCATATTCGTAACTTTTTCAAAAATTGACACCAGTAGGTCGATTCGTTTCGAAAGATTTCCATTGAGTAATTTTTTATTTGCCTTATTACGACTCTTACGGAGAGAGAAAAATGATCGCGCGCATGCATGGTTGGTGCTGTTGCTGTTGCTGCTTGCGTATGTATTATTTTGTAACACTCGCGCGAACGAGTAAACACAAAGATCAACGGGAAAGATATTTTTACGAGCGGGGATATGTTCTTAATACGTTGGCTTGGAATATAAAGAAAAAAAGAGAGAAAGAGAAAGGAGAAATACTGCAGCGAGAAGGAATCTGCGATTATGAACGTCGGTTCGGTGCATTCCGCGAGTATCCAACGTCCCGCGCGAGGATCCAAAAAGGAAAGAAGGGAAAAGAGAAGACGACGGTGGTAAAAAACATCAGGAGGCAATCGCAAGATCGTTCCAGGAAGTTCGTCGACCGAGACGCGATCCGCAGGCGGGTAGGTGAGGGAGAACAAAAAAATTATAAAAAGAGAGAAAGAAAGAGAGAGACAGAGAGAGAGAGAGAGAACGTATGCACGCAAAAAAATAAAGACAGAAACAGTGGGGAAGGAAGGAAGGAAGGAAGGAAGGAAGGAAGGAAGGAAGGAAGGAAGGAAGGAAGGAAGGAAGGAAGGAAGGAAG